ATTTTAAAATTAAATATTTAAAATGTAAATTTTTATAAAACAATATTAATTATAATGATGTAATACCAAAATGAGTTTTTATATTGTTCTCTATTATACATGCTCTAAAATTACCAAATTAAATTTTACATAGAAAATTCAATTAGAATAACTAATATATTGTTTCCTCTATTTCATAATAATTGTTTCTATCAATTTTTTGTCATAATTAAATATTTAGAGATCATTTATGTATTTATCTATATTATTCTTAAAAAAATAAAATATAAGATAAGATTTTTTGTGATAAAATAATTAATTAAAATAAATAAATAATAATATAGTTAAACTATAAAAAATTATTTATTTTAAAAAATAAAAAAAATAATTAATTTAAAACAAAATTTAAAAAATAACATTTATTTTGGACAAAGCAACGGTAAATAAGAGGAGTAAACAAAACAAAAGAAGTGCTGAACGCGTTATTTTCAGACGAATATCCTCCAATAAAGATACAGAAAGGCAAGGTACGCTTGACCGTCATGGAATAGCCAAAATCCAAATGTTAAGCCCCTAGGTTTTTCCCATTTTCTCACAAAAGACTTTCGGAGAAAAAAGTAACATGCAACTTCTTAAATGCTTAGATTTGAACAAATTAATTTTGTGTTAATAGTAGAATCATATGTAGTCATATTAATTAAATTGTTATTTTTTGCTTGCCTGGAAATTTCTTTACATTTATATGTTGATTGAGTAATTTATTTAAATTTAAATTTTAGTAATATATATGGCTTAAAATTTTTTAAATTAGAAGCTAAACAACTTAATCTAGTGCCACATTGGTATCAAAGTATAACAGAATTGGCATGAAAGCAAGAAAAAGAAAAGATTTAACTTATATAACCGCACTCAATTTTGCCATTAACATAAGGATTAATTTGGTCAAATCTAAGTATTTAAGGACTTGCATGTCACTTTTTTGTTAGGGCTTATATTAAAAAATGAAGAAAGTCTGGAGGTTTAATACTGGTTTTTGCCTATGCAATAATGACTGCGAGAGGAAGAACTGAAGCGAGGGCCCAGGTGCGTGGGAAAAGATGGCAATTTGAAAAATAAAAGAAAGAAAGCGAAATGCGAGTTCGGCCAAGTGATTTTTGTTTGGTTAAATACTTTTTTTGGTCCTTCTATTATA